TTATTGCCCTGCTTACAGAAACTGCCTCTCCGGTTAACCCTTATTACCTTGTAACAGCTAAGGCGAAGCATCCATCAACGCGAGTGATGTTGAGTTGGCCATGCCCACCCAGTCACATGACCACCAAGCCCCGCCTACCTTGCTGGTCATTAGGGCAGAGAACCGGTTGTTAAATTATTTGAATCCCACCACTGCTGTGGACATATTTATATTTGCCACCCAACATCGCTTTGGCCAATCAAGGCTTTTGCAATACTTTTGTAAGGGTCAGCTAAGTTACCCACCTTGGTTGAACCTGTGCAAAGTGCAGCATTCCCAGATAGTAGTATGGACTCTACCCGTCAGTTTGGCTACATTTGGCATTCCATAAGCACAACCAAAGCCCAATTTTACCATGTTCAGAGTATTCTGTGCAAGCTTCAGGTCTGTAATTTAGAGGGGACCTAAGTAACAAAATAGTTCTACGAAGAAAAGCAATAAAAGAAGCAATTATCGGGAACACAGCACAGACCTGAAACTAAAGCAATCAAAATAATTGAGATTAACTGCAGCATGGTTTGCTAAACATTAAAGTAAACAAACTTGTTCCAGTCTGTAGTTGCTATTGCAAATATTAGAGAGGACAAGGGTGATCTTATGTCAGATGGCAAGGTCCTGTGTCAGCCAATGCAAGAGCCCTGAGGAGCAATCTAGATTTTCAAGCAGCACATAGGATGCTAGTTAGTGTCCTTAGAATCAAATCAAATCTGAAGAGTATGCAAATGTTTCATGGATGCTTAAAGGAAATAAGAAGGCTTCTAAGGTTGTTCAAAATCTGGAAGATCAAATAAGAATCCCCCAACGTTGACCTTAAAGCAGGGAACCCACCTTTGAGATTCTTGATGGAGGAGCCGAGGTGGCGCAGAGGTTAGGGCGCAGTACTGCAGGCCACTTCAGCTGACTGCTATCTGCAGTTCAGCGGTTCAAATCTCACCGGCTCAAGGTTGACTCAGCCTTCAATCCTTCCGAGGTGGGTGAAATGAGGACCCAGATTGTGGGGGCGATATGCTGGCTCTGTAAACCGCTGAAAGCCCTATGAAGCGGTATATAAGTCTAACTGCTATTGCTATTGCTATTGATCATATATGGAACTCTGTGAGAATTATATGGGCACTCACAAAATGGTTCTAGGTTGCTAGTGGCACCAAAAGGCTGACCAAACCCTGGAGTTTATTTCATTTTTTAAGAAACAAAAAATGAAATGGGCTCTAGATGCATCCCAAAAACATTGCTGAAGTACAAATTATGCTCGAAGCTAGTCTTTTGCAGACTAGCTCATCTCTTTTTTTCAAAAATCATGTTAAAAACATTAAAAGAATTCAAAATTTGCAGATTAACAGAACTATATAAAATTGAAGACAGGAATTGAATGGCGTGCCACAACAATCACTCCTCTACTGTTCAATCGTTTTCCTGATGATTTAGATCAGGGGTGTCCAAACTTGGGAACTTTAAGACTTGTATACTTCAACTCCCAGAATTCCTCAGCTGGGGAATTCTGGGAGTTGAAGTCCACAAGTCTTAAAGTTCCCCAGCTGGGGAATTCTGGGAGTTGAAGTCCATAAATCTTAAAGTTCCCAAGTTGGGGAATTCTGGGAGTTGAAGTCCACAAGTCTTAAAATTCCCAAGTTGGGGAATTCTGGGAGTTGAAGTCCACAAGTCTTAAAGTTCCCAAGTTTGGGCACCCCTGATTTAGTGTTGAGGAAATGCTTGTCAATTTGCAG